TTCAAACTCTGAAGAACTATTTACAAATAGATATTCAAGTCATCCATATACCTTTGTTTTAGGACCCATTTGTACTGTAACTGGCTGTTTGCTTTCAGCCACCAAAAAATATACTAACCCAACTTGGATCAACCTAATTTGAATTTCCATCATGTATCATACAATAGAAAGATCAAAGTCCTGTATTTGTGCCTTGCTTCATTGTATTAGATAGCATTTCAGAATCAAATTGTTCCATAAGTATAGAAGCTATCTCCCTATTCTGTGTCCTTCCATTCCTTCATGACCCGTTCCTTACCAAGCTTCCTGTTAATGTTGAAAGTCTAGGTAAGTGGAATCTTGTTATGCATTTAATAAGAAACATCAATTTTTCTGGTAATCATGGTACTATCATAAAACATGAATAAGATAAATTTAAGTCCATATAGATTTTTGTGAAACCATAATTACATAATTAATGTGTAATGATTTATGATTTTCTTACTTTATAATAAATCAAAAATGTCAACTGGTACAAAAGTGATTCTTTTCATGCATTTCCTTCTGTCTTGGGTTTCAGTTTCATTCTAAAAAAAAGAGATGCTTTTTGTTCTCTATTGTGGCACATTGTGGATTTCTAAACTCCAGAAAAAGTTACTATTAGAACAGATTCAAATTCATTACAGTGCTATTTCAGAAATCACTAAGTTCACTGTTGAAATGAAAGGCCATCCTACCTTTTTTATGTAATCTGTCAGTGACATGATTCAGTTTCAAGGAGTGATTTACAAATGCAAACTGATGAAAAATGTTTGTACATACCACTTTTGGTGTTACTATTGGATCCAGATGTGGGGATGGGAAATGGGACACATCTGGGAGGCAAATATTTCCTTTGCTCTCTGTACTTCAGTGGCTCTGAATCCTTCCTTTGTTTATGTCCAAGCTAGGTAGAGTGCCTTTTTCAGATAGATGCTGCCTTATATTATAGCCCTTTACTCTGAAGGTGTGTGTTAGGGTTTGCTTCCCAAAGTAGAGCTATTCTGGTCCAACCAAAGAATGCAGAAAATATACATCTCAGCTATGAGGTGCTTTAATGGTTTTCAAAGGATTACAGTCTTACTTTTTTTTTTGGCAGTCCTGTCATTTCCCTATAAATTAACTTTAATGTGGTACTCCACAACCTCTGCTGTTCTCTTTACTTTTATCCCATTTGTGTGACCTTAGTACTGGATATGTATAGAAGAATAATGAGGACTGTATCGTGGGTAGAGGGCTCTGAACTCTGCCACTTCACCTAACTGAACAGCTTAGTTTCCTTACCCTTATTTCATTAGTAACTAAAGTGATTGGTAATTCTTTTTCCTGAAGTATTTGGAGAGATTTAGGTAAAATTTGCCCCTAAATCTGTTATATTTCTAGGGACTTTTGAAGTCAAGAAAGACTTCTAAATAAGTCATATTATGTAATTATCGAGATTTTAAAAATATTTCTAAGAAGAGATTATGCTTTGTCATCCAACTGGAAGGACAAAGATGCTTTATGGATGCTAGGCAGCTACAGGACATGTCTTAGCCACAAAATCTTCCTGCCATGTGATATTCCTCTAAAAAGAACATTATTTACTCTTCTGAGAAACACAGTAACTCTCCCAGGATTGGATGACATGTGTGCTAATTAACAGTTGATCTCTGCTTATACCTTCTGATGGTCTACATTTTTGTTAAGCATCTAGAAAGCCAAGAATTTTCCTGATACAATAAATTGTACAGTATTCAAATTTAGTAATGTCAAATCCTGTTATAATCAACTTTCTAGTAACAAGTCTGAGGATAACTGAAACCCAGTATTCTGAGAGAGAATGAATTCGCAGAAATGAGAAATTCCACTATTGTTCTCTGTGCAATGAGTATAAATACGACATAGTAAATCCCTCTTATGACACAGCCTTTTAAAGTTCATTTTTCTGAAGCAGGTCACTATTTTTTTTTCTATTTTAAGTAATGACCCGGCAGTACATGGGGGATGCTATGTTAGGAACTGCTTTTTCTATTACTTCTTAACTATCAGTGATGATACTAAATTGTTCACTTTTAAAAGGATCTTTTATTTAGTTTTAATGAAAATTTAACTTGAAATAGAAAGCATTATTTTTCCTTATAAAAAGCATAAAAGAGAAGGAAATTAGAGATAGTGAAAAAACTAGAGCATTAAGTCATCTATTTGAGATATGTGTAATCTCCATATTTGGGAGCAATTTTTACCAGTCAGCTTTGGATATATCCTATATGACCACCTAATATGAGTTTAATATAGGCAAGAAATTGTTAGTTCAGTGCTAAGGAACCTTTGATGGGGATCAGGGGGGCTTTAAATGACTGCAAGCTGCTCTAAAATGCACAATTCTAATGCTTACTTTTTTAAAGTGCTTTTCCCAATGTGATCTCAATCATTTCCAGTGTGATTCATGCCTTTGTGAAGATCTCTGTTTATATCTGGTATTCCTTCCCTTCATCCTGAAAAACTTTCTGCAGCATTCCTATCATGCACTCTCTTAGTGATGAGTTCTTGCATTTACTTTTGCATAAAAATATCTTTCTTTCTTGAAATAAATTTTTTCTGAATATCAAATACTTAATAAGTGGATATTTTATTTCTCCTTGAACTTTAAAGATAGTTCCACTGACTTCTGCACTTTATCATTTCTAAAAGAAATCAAATTATTCTAATTATTGTTTTCCCCCTACATAATCTGGTATTTCCTCTAGCTTTCAAGAGTTTATTTTTATTTAGTTTTCTTCAGTTTGGCTATGGTGTTCTCAGACGTGCTCTTTTTGCACACATATCCTTCTGGGGGCACATTGAGCTTTTTGACTATGTAGATTGATATCTTTCATTAAATTTATGACATTGTTAACCTTTATTTCTCCAAATGTTTTTAAATCATTCTCTCTGATCTTTCTGGAATACCATTTAAATGTAGGCTAGACATTTGAACACAGCCCCACAATTCTCTGTTATTTTAAAGTTGGATACACTTGTGTTATCATCCCTTCGTAGTCTCTCTTTTTCTGTCATCTCTATTCTAGTTTTAGTCTTATCCAATTATTTTTATTTCAGATATCATATTTTTCAGCATTAGAATTACCCATATATGATCATTAGCATATAAGGAGTTAAATCAGCTATTATGTCTATGCTTAGTAATCTAAAAAAATGCATTCATAATGAATTAAAACATAAGCAATCTTATTGGAGGAAGAGAAACTTTAAAAAGAATTCTTTGATTGTTGTTGCTTAGTTTTAGATAGCATAACTTTGACTTTAATTTTCAAACAAAAAAATTAGTTCATTTTTAGTTTTTCTGACCCTCTGCTGAGATTTCCTATCTTTTCTTCATTATAGGAATAGCCCCTTTCTATCAGAAGCATAGTCATAATAGCTGTTTTAATTCTTTTTCTACTAATTACCACATCTGGTTCATCTCAAGGTTAGTCTCTCTTGATTATCCTTTCTTTTGGAAAAGGCCATCTCATCGCAGTTCTTCAATATGTCAAGTAATTTTGGACATTATTCTGGATAAGGTATTATTTTGTAAAGCTTCTGGATTCTGTTGTATTCTTCCAAATGTTGACTTTGTTTTCTTTTGTTTTAATGATCAATTTACGTGGCTGGATTCAAGTTAGAAATTCTATCTCTTGGATGGCAGCTTAAATATTACTTCATCTCTTTGAACCTTAGCTGTATTATTTAGGATCTTCCCTTTCACAGCTGAGGAACCATGCAAAAATTTGAACAGATCTTATATACAGAATTTGAATCTCCCTCTCTGATCACTCTTCTCTCTCTCTCTCTCTCTCTCTCCCCCCCCGTTTTGCCCCAAACTCTCTTCTCAAATTATTACCCCACAAAACTGGGTTTAGAGGATATATTCTTAAGTGAAATAAATAAGTCACACGTGTAAATGCTGAATAGTTTCGCTGGTGTGAAAAACTATAATTGTACATAAGATCCTAATGATATAATTGACAATGTGAAATAGGAATAAAAGGACTAAAGTGTAGGGAAAGTGGTAAGGGTAGGGGAAAGGAAATAAGGGAAAAGAAAAAAATATAAGAAAATGAAAAAATGGAAATAAAGTTTTTGTAAATAGAGAAGGGAGGAGTGGGTGAAGGGAGGGCAAGGGTATGGGGAAAAAATGAGAACCAAGACCTGTCAATGTAAAGGTACAAGATACCAATGATGAATGTAACTGTGCTGTATACCTAAAATGTACCAATAAACACCATGAGAAAAAATAAATAGGTAAATAAATAAATAGATAAATGGTGTCATAACACCATAAAAAAGTAAAAAAGAAATTTCGCCATTCTTTCAGTAAGTAATTCAGTCCTGCTGTCAGACTAAAGGGTCCTTGCTCCAAGTGTCAGCTCCTCTTCAGAATATCCTAGCTTTTGTTCACTCTCCAATGATATCAAGTAGTTACAGGTTTGGTTTGGTTTTAGTCATTATCCATGAAAGAGTTGATCTGGTAGGAGTTTACTCCTGGTAGCTCATTTATGCTATGACTTCTAAAATTGCAAAACTTCCATTAAGAATTTTTTGAGTAAAACTATAAAAAGGGAAGGAGAAAAAAAGATGGCAACCACAAAATTAAAGAGTCCAACATGAGGAGATAAAAATGGCAAAATGTTTAAGGCAAAGTCCAGAATTCTTCATGAGGAAGAAGTGTTGAAGCTTTCATCTCCAAAGTTACTTTCTAATACTGGAACAATATAAGAATTACAGACAATGAGGATTCTAATTCTAGAGAGAAAGTTCAGTGCAAGGCAAAGTGTACCCAAGTATGCTTTCTCTAATGAGACTAATTAGTCTCAATATGCCCTTTTGCTTCTACCTTAAGAGTACTCTGAGAGTTTTTAATATGTTCCCAAAAAGCTGCTTTATCTTATCGTTAACTCTTCATTTTTTAAAATACTTTTAAGGCTTTCCCACCTAAAAAGCATACCTTTTAACCTTAGGAAATTCGCAACATTCATAATGACGAATTAATGGGGATCAGACGAGAAGAAGAAATGGAAATGTCTGATGATGAAATAGAAGAAACAACTGAAACAAAAGAAACTGAGGAATCAGGTAAAGATAATTCTGCTTTATTTTATTTAACAAACATCTACTTGAAAGGGCAATATTTTTAAACCTTTCACACCAAGTACAATCTGAGCATCAACCCATCAGACTGGATACCAGCTAATAATAATTGATGGGCCACATAAGTATACACTGGCTGACTGTCAACCTTGTATCTACAGGATTTTCTATGGTCTTCATTTGCCCTTTTTTTTTTTTTTTTGGTACCAGGGATTGAACTCAGGACCTTGTGCTTGAGAAGCGAGCAGTGGAACCACTGAGCTAAATCTCCAGCTCATACCCCCATATTCTTTTCAATTGAAAGCAGACTTCCTTTTCCAGGAAGCAGTAGACATTTAGGTAGCATTGTTTTCTATTTGATTTGGGTTTATTACTAATATATTCTACAGTAGAAACCATGAGAGAACATATGCATATATACTATGTCACTCATATCACACACTAAAATTAATGAAAGATGTATATAAGATTTTAATATTAACAAAATACAAGTAACAAAGAAATTACAAAAAATGTAAAATTTGGTTATAAACTTTGGAAGTTTCTAAAAACAAAAATCATAAAAGATTCTTGACAAATCTGCATAGAATTAAATATTTCTAGCAAGAAGTTACAAAGGTAAAAGAAAAATCAACAAACTAAGGAGAAATATCTTACATATGACTGTGTACCTATCTGCTGCCTTCCACTGTGGGCTACTTGAGATTGTATCTTGAGAGCCAGAGGGGGTCCACAAGCAGTAACCTGGATAAATGCTGTTGCTCTAGTCGAATATAGTCAAGACCGCACTGTGAGTCAGAGGCCACAGCGTGGCTTTCCAGTGAGACCCCTAGGGTAAACGTTTTGAACAATGGGAAAAATACCCTTCAGTTTCATGATCCGTTATCTTAGATGAGAGATCACTATAGTAGCGAATAAAATACCAGTCAGAAAAACCAGTATTTTCTGGCAAAGCATTACTGACAATCTTAGAAGTTAGACTATAGAAAAAGGCACAGTGAAGAAGAGCACTGGACCTAAAGTGCGAACATTTGAGTTTTAGTCCCAGCTCTGCCCTTCCTGAGTTCAGAGACTTCTTCCCCACTGAGCCTCAACTTCCACATTGTAATCCATGCATTAGAAAAAGCATCTAACAGGATTATGCGATGGTTAATTGAGTTCACCCATTCATTTCATAACTTCTACATGCCAAGCACTGTGCTAGACACTAGAGTTTCAGTGTACTGTCCTGGTCAGAGCGGGGAAGAGGAGAGATTGATTCTAATTCAATCTGAATTTCTTTGGTTCCAGAACTTATTTGTTGAAGTCAGAGGCTACATATCCACTTGAGTGGTCTTGGTTAGAATCATTACTCCGTAAACAAACACTCTCAAGGAAAGAAAGCTGCCAAGTTGGACTTTTCTAAAAGGCATTCATTAGCTGTTACATCTGAGTTTTTTCTATTTCTGCCATATGTTAGATCCTAAACATACAAACTTCTATCTATAGTAAGTAAATTCTTTGTATTAGTGGTTAGTGAGCATTTTCAGAATAATGAACAAATTACAGCAAATAAATACTATAAAATTATAGCCAAAATCAACAAAAGACTTTAATAGTAACTGAGCTATTCAAATTATTTAAGTGCTTAGCTATGATGTTTTATAGCTGATTGATCTTTGACTTATAGAATTAGCTCTCCCTCAGTATATACATCATATTCAATGTTTATCCAGTGTTACCATGAAATAATGCAAGCATGTTTGAGCATCCACTTGATAAATTACAGAGTTTGAGGAGTTATTGGGGGAGGAAATAGGTATGTGGGAGATTCAGATTGAGTACACTTACTAGGGTTATATAATTGCATTTTGCTTCTGTGTCTCTTCTGAGTTAAAAGCTGTATTGGCTACTGAACAGAATCTTATTCGTTTAGAGACTGGAAACTCCCTGACAGATCATCTTATAGCTATTTTCTTTCCTGCTCCACATGCCAGGATGCTGCTTTGTCAAATAAAGCTATCTACAATAGACTTAATGGAGCTTACCAAATAGCTTTTCTCCCAGAAGGTTTCAATTCATTTTAATTCAAGGACTTTTGTGCATTTTTCTTCCCTTTGATCGTATCTAATTCTGTTATCTCTCTTCTGCGGTACTCAACTGCAAAAATCCTGCTCATTGTGAGCCAGTGAGAGGGTTCTGTTTTTATCTAAATTAGCTACATGTCCTAGCTATCACTCACTTCCAATTAAAAGCTTAAGCAACTAGATCTCAGAGTTGTTTTTTCTCTATGCTACCAAACTTGAATTCTGGGAACCTGTAATGTGTTCCTGGTTATGATTGACTTCCCAAAGAAAGTAAAATCATTTACCTTTCCTTGGATTGCTCACAAATTTTCTGTTCTTCCAGAAATTCTGTATTAGTCACCTCATATTTGTGATGCAGTATTTGACATACCCTTGCAAAGAAGAAAGGACTGCTGTGCTCAGAGCAGTGCATTGAAGACAGAGAATCAGATCAAAGAAAATCATGACATTGTGAAATTATTTCATTCTATTGTTAACTATGATGGAAAGTACATGTACCCAGGAAGCATAAGAACAGCAGTTCCCCTTTCAGCATCTATTTTCTGCCTTCACTGAGTGGTTCTCAGAAGTGATGTATTTGGGAGCCACTTGAGTTGCCTTTACAATTTTATATTTCTGGGCTGTAGAATCTAATTTAGTGATTTGTAGGAATCTGCACTTTGTTGGGAATCCTAAATTATTTAGATGCTGGTGATCCAGGGAACATATATGAAAATCAATGACTTAAACTAATTCTCCTTCATTGTTTTAGGCAAGGCTTTCTCTTCCCTTAGCATCCAGTCTCCTTCTTCTCCACCCTCTTCTCATTATTCTCATTTTAAGAATTTGACTAGTTAGTTAGAAAGCACTATGTCCTATAAACTGATGGAATTATAAATGTATATATGCATAGATCCGCATAAAATATAAGAAATACCACTTGGTGTGAACCTGAGAAGTACTGATTAGAATGCAATAAAGGCAAAAGATATCTGTGTCGTCCAGAGTGGTCACAATCAGTGAAAGATGAACAGATTTGGATTAGCGGAAGGAATGTAAAAGTGGGGAAGGGTGGAGAAGCAGGGCTGAAAGATGGAAATAACTGATATGTAGAGGGGAGATCAAAGATTAAGTGGACAAGATGGGCCCAAGATCTGGGAGACAACAATGCTAAACTTTAATTTAATAGAGTAGGCGACATAACACTGTAAGTACATTGTGAACATGATTCTGATACAATGAAAGCAACATAAATTATGTATTTTGGAAATAATTTTAGTTTCAGAGAGACCAACCAAAGGCCTTTATAGGATTTTAGATGTGAAATTATATGGGTAGAGTGACAGCAACAGGAAGTGAGAAAAAAAAGATGAGAAAGAAGGCAGTGAAGAGTATGAAATTAAAGATTCTAGGAGTTATTTTTAGAGGATAAGACTAAAGCCTTTACTTGGAGAATTAATATAGATAATGAAGAAAAGGAAAGAGCCTGCAATGAGTCTAGGTTTTCTAATCTGGGAGATTGAGGGATTGGTGGTTGTACTGGTTCAATAAATCCGCCATAACAAAGTACTACAAATGGGGAGGCTTAAATCACATGTATTTATTATCTCACAGTTCTGGAGTCTAGAAGTCCAAGATCCATGTCATTGGTTCCTTCTGAGAACTGTAAGGAAAAACCTCATGCCTCTCCTCTAACTTCTGCCATTTCCCAGCAATCTGGCAACATTCAACATACATACGCATTACCCCAGGCTCTGCCTTCAAGATCAGATGGATAGCATTCTTCCTGTTTGCATGTTTGTCTCTATGCCAAATTTCTCCTTTCCATAAGGACACCGATGATATTGGGTTAGGACCCACACTAATAACCTCATTGTAACTTGATAGTCGCTGAAAATACCATTCCCAAATAAGGTCACATTCTTACAGTTAAACGTGTCTTTTTTAGGGGAGGGCACACAATTCAATCCATAGCACTAGAGCTGGCATGAATGGACTGATAAATGGCACTGATTTGTACAATACAATGAATTAAGCTTCAGATTGTAGGTAGTTAGAAAGCAGGCAAGAAGGATTTGTATTCAGAGCTGAAGATATAGAAGGAATAGAAGATGGTGGCAGAGAAGTAATCATTCACCAAGGCCCTAAAAAGGTGGAAAAATGAACATGAAAGACTGAAAAGGGATGAATATACAATTTTGGTGGGCTACCCACAGTACAAAAGAAGGAAAGGAAAAAAGTTAGCATAGAAATTAGAAAAAGAAAATTCTGAGTGGCTAGAAGAAAACTAGAATTGGGCTGTAGAAATCAAGAGACTTTTTTTAAGAAATAGGGAATAATCAACATTATCAGATGTTACAAAGAAGAGAGAAATTGGGAGAAAAAGTATTGACCAAGAAATATATTAGTACAATTATAGAGGTAGGGGCAGAATATAGCATTAATGAGAAAGTGGACAAAGACCTCACTTCGGGAAGTTAGGTAATAAGCAAAAAGAAACACAGGTATTATAAATGACAAATAGAACTGATAACAAGTTAAGTTGTTTTTTGTGGTTTAATAAAAGGTAAGGATGTCATGAGGAATGTGAGACTGAAAATGCTAGAGAATGAACAAGTATTTACGAATAATTATGGAAATGGATCCCTGGAAAAGAGTGGAAAGTGCCTTATAGAGAGAAGGCTTTCTTCCTCTGAGATAAGAGAAGGAAAGCTGAAAGATATATAGATATATATTGGTCAGGCTTCTCCATGCAGTAATGGATCATCCGTTGATTATAGAAATTATTCAGAAATGAGATCATGACAAATGAGGAACAAATATGGAGTAACTGCTATGGGCTGTACAGAAGGAAGAAATGCATGAGAGTTGAGGGACCCATCTGCACAGGTCAACATGAGTCTTTATGGCTCTAGCTACCTACCTCTGCAACTTCCTATA